AACACACACACACACACACACACACACACACACACACACACACACACACACACACACACACACACACACACACACACACACACACACACACACACACACACACACACACACACACATACATACATACATACATACATACATACAGGCATAGCGACAACCTCGCGGGGATAGTCAGGGAAGCTTCCTGTGACTTTCAAACGTCGAGATCTGACGAAAACTCGATTTTTGCACAAACGGGGTGAAAACAATAACGTCCCGATTTTTGAAAATCTTCGATTTTCTTAGCGAGAAGTTAAAAATTCGAGCAGTTAACTTAAATAAGTGGTCTATTTGGTATGAAATACCCCATATATAAGTCACCGTGAATTATTGGGTTAATGAATTTGAATAAGTGACGAGGTTATATATATATATATATATTTATATAATTTATAAATAAAACTAGCTGTTACTTGACCGCTTCGCTGGGCGTTTTATAGAATTGAATTTTTAGATTTAGACTTGAAATTTAAATAGAATATTGTTTTGACTTGCACAGATTCCAAATTCCATTGAATTGGCATGCATCTTTTATCCATGTGATTATTCTAATAGCTAATATTCATTGTAACTTTCAATATCTAATCATTATAACATTTCCGTGGCTTTCTTACAAAAATGAATAATAATTAATTGATATGAAAAAAAAAAAATTCGGAAAACGGTTGACCCTGAAGGCCATCCCTGCAACTTCCCGCCAATTCTATACTTAAACGCTTGAAATTGTACTTATGACGTTTTTGAGCTCTTCAAGCTCATAAATACAATTTGTGTGTGCGGAAGGTTAAAAATTTGAAATGAGCATTAAAAGTTTCAGTTAAAGATATTGCAGATCTCATAAGTGAAGAAATCTGCCTAGCTTCAAGTGCGACGAATTTTTTCGTTCATTAAAATTTTCTCAGTGACATCAATTTTTTACAGAAAATTAATTTTACATGTTTTTTACGAATTCTATTCAAAGATGAGCCGAATTTATTTTCCACATATCAAGTGTTTGGAAAACGCATTCATTTTAATCTGTTACATTCCTGCGATCTTGCGATACGAACAATTAATCGCTTATGTGATCGTCAAAAATAACATGTATGTGAAATTCTTAGTCCTTTGACTAAATAACTACATGTAAAGTTAAATTTCAAAAACCTTATAATGACTTTTTCATATAACCTGCATTGAAAATGCGAGTTTCAATGCCTGTTGAGCCAACCGAAACTAGACAATTTCAGACCAATGCGACTGTTGCCGGGCAGGAATCAATCATTTCTTCCCGGCGGACAGAAAATGACGATTTTCTGCCCGCGAGATGAAGTTGCAGCTTTATTTTCAATCCTATCAATTGTTTGTTTACTTTATACCTTTATAATTGTCATTCTAACCGTTAACCGTACTGACATATTATAATTCTGTTACTAAGCATAAATAAGAATGACAAAAGAAAACTATTCAATTTACGAAAAATGATTAATAAAAAATAAACCATTACTTTCTATTTTATTATAAGTTTTATAATAAAATGGTATTTTCGCTATTCGTCTGAAACTATCTAGTTTTGGTTGGCTCCAGACATTGAAACTAGCATTTTTAATGCAACTTATATGAAAAATATAATGTGTGACACGGGATGAAACACGATTTCAGACCGAGTGATGCCAACCCTCGCTTCGCTTGGGCAGGCAACTTCACTCTGGTCTGAAATCGTTTTGTTTCATCCCTAGTCACACAATATACTATTTTCCCCTCTGCCAAAGATACGATGGCTGTAAGGAAATTTTTAGTAAATGTTATTGAAGTTTAATAGACATGTCCTAAATTTCATGTTTCAAGAAGTCCTAGCTTATAAACAAAAGCCTTTTTTTACATTCTACTCACCACTCTGACACAACCTGCATATAAAGTCAATTATCGCGAAATTCATTTTTGCCGATATCTAATTATTAAAAAGGAAAAATATTTAAATCAGTTGACCCTGGAGGCCATCCCTGACATTTCCTGTTTCTCTTGTGATTCTATCAAATTTTATATCTATAGGAACCGTATTTGGAGAATATGAATTTTTTTTTACAATTAACGACTTCGCACTCCTACATAGGGGAGGAATTTTGTAAGATCCTATTCGATATGATTTCTACATTATAAATAAAAGATTCCTACACAGCTTCGAGCCCATAGAAACTATCGTTTGGAAATGAGAGTTTTTCATTGTTAACGCCCCTACAATCCGTATTGGGGTTGGAATTTGATAAAATCCATTCTTAGCTGAACTTGACACAATGATTCTTACCAAATTTAGAGTCTATAAAAGTTACAGTTTGGAAATTGAAATTTAACATTCTAACACCCACCCCCGCAATCCTTATTGGGGGTGGGTTGTCATAAAATCCGCTCTTGGATCATTTCTGCATCATATATAGAAGATTCCTACCAATTTTGGAGCCTATAGGAGCTATAGTTTAAAAAAGGCCATTCAGCATCGTGTATTATCATAACTGTAAACTTGTTTTGAAGCTTTAACAACTTTTAAGGGAGCTGTTTCGTTTTCCAGTACTACGTCGCAACTACATTTTTCATCGGCATGTAATGTGGTACAAATCAGTAAGAAAATTATTAGTATTTTACAGTACATTTTTTTATTGAGGAGTCGGACTGTTTTATAAGGAATTGTTTTAGTACACTCCCCTTAAATTGTTTTAATTGGGCATTGGACATGCTTAGCTGATTAAATTTATCTAATGTGTTATCGTCGGCTTCTCGTGCCATGAAATGTGAAAACAGACTCGACCTTTTTATCAAATACACCCATAAAAAGTTTTTTTTATTTTTTTAATTCGAGAAACTGAATTATGATTTACATAAAACATGTTGATAATAATCTAAAGAAAAAAATTTTTTTAGAAGGTTTTATGTACAAGAAAATATGGAACAGAGAACCGGATTTGATATTGTTAAAAAATATTTAAATCAAAGGATTTTCAATGCATAATTACAACAAAATACAGCTTGGATTCTTCCTTATATCAATTGATGGAACTTACTCCAGAAATTTTACAGTTTTTTATGCATTAATTGTATTTATAAGAAATTGATTGTACTCTAGAACTGTAGAAGCAAACGAAGGAAAAATTGATAACAAATACTCATCAATATTAAAAAACTTGTAATTTCAAATAATTACTTATAATTGTTTAAAAACACTTAAGTCAGTGCTAAAAAAATTTCATTTACTTATTTAAATGTTAATTCGCGTCAGTTCCTCAAATATCCTCGTTTCACCCCCCCAACTGAGACAGCTATTGAATAAATACGCCCTCTTTTGCATTTATATGTACGTGTATGATATTTTTGATCACTTGGTAGGTGGAATGTCTCACTAAAATGGACTGCTTTTTAGAAAATATTTATTTTTTCAATTTTTTTGAAAAAAAAACTTGCAAAAAGCTGGCTATATCATTTTAATCTGTTACATTCCCGTGATTCAGTAATAAGAACATTTCATCGGTTATGTGATCAGCAAAAATAAAATGTATGTAAAATTCGTAATATTAAAATCCGTTGACCTTGGAGGCCATCCCTGTAATTTCTTGTTTCTCTTGAGATTCTATCAAATTTTATATCTGTAGGAACTGTATTTGAAGAATATGAATTTTTTGACAATTGTTAATTGTATAATTAATTATCACTCCCACACTCCTATGTGGGGGAGGAATTTCGTAATAAGATCCTATTCGAGATAATTTCTACATGATAAATAAAAGGTTCCTACAAAACTTCGAGTCCATAAAAACTATTGTTTGGAAATGAGAGATTTTCATTGTTAACGCCCCCGCAATCCCTTTTGGGATTAGAAATCGAGAAAATCCATTCTTAGCTGAACTTGACATCATACGCGAAGATTCCTACCAAATTTAGAGTCTGCAGAAGTTACAGTTTGGAAATTAAAATTTTAAATTTTAAAACCCACCCCCGCAGTCCCTATCGGAAGTAGAATTTTTTGAAATCTGTTTTGAGATAATCTCCTCATGACAAATAAAAGATTTCTACTAAATTTACAGCTTTTAGAAGCTATATTTTAAAATTAAGATTTTTTTATTGTTAAACACCTACCCCCGCAATCCTTATTGGGGGTGGTTCGTCGTAAAATCCGCTCTTAGATTATTTATACATCACATATAGAAGATTCCTACCAAATTTAGAAACTATAAGAGCTAGAGCTTGAAAAATAAAAATTTCAATTGTTAACACTTACCCCCGCAAACCCCTGTAAGGTGAGCTATCGTAAAATTCATTCGTATATTATTTCTACATCTCTTACAGAAAGTTCCTACAAAATTTGGAGTCTGTAGGAGCTGTAGCTTGAAAATTACAAATTTTCATTGTTAATACCCACCCCCGCAACCCTCTGTGGGGTGAGATATCGTAAAATTCGTTTACAGATTATTTCTACATCTCTTACAGAAGATTCCTACCAAATTTGGAGTCGATAGGAACTATAGTTTAAAAACGGGAATTTTTCATTGTTAACGCCCCCGCAACCCCCCTTGTAGATGGAATTTCGTAAAATCCGTTCTTAGCTGACCTCTACTTTGTAAAAAGAATATTCCTGCCAAATTTCAAGTCTCTAGGTCTTATAGTTCCAAAGATATCGTGATGAGTGACTATATCTATAGAAAGTCTCTTATATATTTATATAAATAAATAACAATCTATTATATTAAGCCTTTTTACCATTTATCAATTCTATTTTTCCTTTCTTGTGCGGCTGTGGCCGACTTACTGTCTGTACCCGCATTTGCCTGTGCCCCGCCCCTTAGCACAGTGACCAAGGAAACCACAGAAACCTGGCCAGGGTACAGTCGGCACGAGAGTAAGCCTTGGAAATCGCAGAAAAATTGCGACTGCCAGGGCTCGAACCCACGCCTGAGCGACTGTTGTACGGGCAGTTTAAGACTTAAACTCCTCGGCCACGCAGTCGCCTACTTATTACTAATATTTGGAAATATAATTGGGATTTTTTTAATGAACTTTAAATTATAATTTTTTATTTCAGACATGAAAAAAAGCAGATGTATTGCAGAGAAGGCTGCAGATGTGAACAACAATATAGACTTCATCGCCTCCTTGCTTATGATCCAAATAACGAGTGTCGAGGAATTTTTAGTGATTGGTTCAAATTTCCGAGCTGCTGCGTTTGCCGTTGCTATGATTTGCCGATTGAATTTCGCGTTACCTCGCGCTCACCTCGCTTACAAAGGCGAAAAATAAAAATACGAAAATCAGTTGACTGATTAATAAATAAAATAAATCAAACAATATTTTTATTTTTTAGTTTCTACTGTAGATCCATATCAAGAACTTTGATGTGCGAGTTATAAAGTTAAAATATAAATAAAAGGCTAGTGATTTCATTAATATGTTTATGAATTATTTATTGTTATAAATTTATCAATAAAGGATTAAAAATAAATCAATTCGAAATATTTGCTGACATTTATTTTATTGTCCATGAACGGTATTTTTTTTACAAAAAAAAAAGAAATTCTTCATCTCAAAATCAATGTTCTTGATTCGAAGTATCATTTTGCTCCAGAACAATTTCAGCATTCCCCTCAAAATTTTTCTAAAAAACTAAAACTGATAAAACCAAATTATACGAGGAAAGTATAAAACATCCAATTGAAATATTCTCTTTGCTTCAAGAAAATTGATACATCTAAAACTATTTTGCTCTTAAAAGGTATTTTCAGGAATCAAATGAACCCTTATTTCCAGGTATGCTTCTTTTTAGGATACAGAAAAAAAAGTTCATTTTGAATACACCGAATTGTTCTACACTGAGGAAGAAGTAACTCGAGTCAAGACAAAAATCTTGTACCAAAATAATTATTTTGAAGTGACTGATTATCTGAAGTCAAATAAAAAAATTTCTTGGTTCAAGAACTTTATTTTCTTTTGATAAGCTAATTTTTTATCACTATAAATAATTCTTCCATGAGTTCTTAATAAGCTACTAAAAAGTTATTAAAAAGAATTCTTTTGATGGAAAATTATTATTACTATGGATCTCATAAAATTTTTTTTTATGTGCAAGATGATTGGGAGTTCAAATTTGTTTCTTATCATGTAAATAACATATTGCAGAAAAAAAAATTTCTTTTTATTTTTTGAAAAAATGTTTTTTGAGAATTTCACGGCTCAGAGAGGCATTTAAATCTATCTTGAAGAATTTTAAACGCTTTTTAGAAGAAACCATTTTATCACTAAATTTTTTGGGGTACCCCATTTTGCCTGCTCTCTCTCCCCTATAGAGAATTTCATTTGTGTAATTAATTGTTTCCTAAGAGATTTTTCAAATAGGTTTTTTTTTGTTGAAGAGATATAATGACGATTTTTCAAAATAGAGATTTTTTGAGGCATTTTAAAATGTAGAGAAATATTATGTGGGTATGCATCACACCTGTTGTTGTTAATCAATAACACAGGTCCACAAAAAAAAAGTATGGGTGTGCGACATATGCTTTCCGACGTATTTTTACCGCTGAACACGAATCTGAAGTCAAAATTGGTGGTCAAACTGCAAAAAAACGGAGAAAAATAAAAAAATCCGATAAAATCCATTATCTAATAGTATTCATCACTGATTCGCAAATATATTTATTTGCCACTTATTGTGTCATTGAAGTCTTTTATCGAAATAATTTTGTCTTTGATACTATAGAAAACGTCAGGACATTGAATCGGTACATTTACCGGCAAAAACCTGCTACCAAGGAGTGTTTGGACTACGATGACAACTGCCTTTTAACGGGATGTGTAGAATGATTAATTAGTCAACATTTCATGGTATCGAAGCTAGCGAAGGTACGCTGTTTTGCAGGGAAGCGCTAAAATATGAGAATGATGCCGTAGTGTATCCGACGACGAGTTGACATTGTCCTTGTCAAAGTCGGAAAGCCCTTATACTTAGGCCTGGGGGGGGGGGGGTATGAGGGTTATCACCCCTAGGGCGACTGACTCTCCTGCGATCGGGTCAGGCATTCTAGCGTGCGGGGTTTGTTTATTTTAATGGATTGTAATGCTTCTTCTACTTTTAGCTCACTCAACTGTACTTAAAGAAGAGTACACAAATCTAGAAACTGTCCTGAAAAAAATTAAATATGAAGAGCATAAATGGCAAGTATGTGGTGATTTGAAGATTTTGTCCATGATCCTGGGACAACAATTTGGATTCACGAAGTATCCATGCTATTTGTGTATGTTTGACAGTGGAGATCGCAAAAATCACTACGTCAAAAAAGTTTGGCCTTTGAGATCTTCATTTAGGGTTGGATCACATAATATAATAAGAAAACCGCTTGTTGATCCAGCCAAAATTCTCATTCCTTCTCTTCATATTAAACTTGGGTTAATAAAACAGTTTGTGAAAGCTCTGGATAAAGAAGGAGAGTGCTTTGCATACCTGTGTCAAGTGTTTAAGCACAAATCAGATGCGAAATTGAGAAAAGGCATCTTTGATGGACCAAGTTTTTAGGTAACACCAATGATGCTGATTACGAAAATATTGTGGCCAATATGACCGCAAACTTTCAGCGTTCAGGTTGCTTAATAATGAATTTGAAACTTCACTTTCTTGATTCGCATCTCAATTACTTTCCGGAAAACAACGGAGACTTTAGTGAAGAGCAAGGAGAGAGATTTCATCAAGATCTCAAAGAATTTGAACGGAGATTTCAGGGGCAGTAAGGGGTAAATATGTTTGCAGATTACTGCTGGATGCTACAAAGAGAAACTCAACAGAAAGGAAAAAAAGTTTAGAAAATCCAAAAGTGCACGACTCATAATGCTCATTTAATTATAAAATATTTAAAAAAAAAAAACATAAGTCGTTCAAAATTAGTTGCCGAAAAAACAGCTGTACTAGGAAGGTACTGCACAAGCGCCTCTGGTGGAATAAATGTACATAATATCTATAGATATGTCACCATCCATGTTAATTTTACATGGATATATATAGATATACAGTCTTGTAGTTTTCGTTTTTTATTAATTGTAATTAAACGACACTGAATTAATTAATCATTTGCATTCAGTGACCTACAATCATCGATTAGAATTTAAAAAAAAAAAAATTTAACTCAAATAATGGATTTTTTCACAAGTTACAGTGTTTTCGGGTTTCACACATGACGGACAGGAAAATTTTTTGGCCTATTTTGGTGTTTTTTTTCGATTCTATTGTAGTAAATCAATTTTTAAAAAGTATGGAATTAATCTCCATTAAATTATCTCGACAATAGTATGCAAAATATCTTGATTCCGTGAACTAACAAGGCTATAATAATAAAAATAGCTGCCAAAATGAGGCGAAAAAAATTTTTTGATCGTAAAGCACTCTCTGATGCTTCGCATCATGAGTCGTGCAAAAGCGTAGCAGAAATCCGTTGCACAGGTCATTGGAGGAGAAAAGGGCCAGGAAATGGCAGAAATTATAAGATTTTAATTATCATGCAAAAAAAATGATTAGATCGAAGATTTTATCGGTTTTTTTTAATTTTTCTCCGTTTTTTGCAGTTTGACCCCCAATTTTGACTTCAGATTCGTGCTCAACGGTAAAAAATACGTCGGAAAATATATGTCGCACACCCAACACAGACCACTTTTTTTTTTTTGTGGATCTGTATTATAATTAACAACAGCAACGCAGTAAAAAGGATAATAAAAATAACAATAAAAAATAAATATAATAATAGTTAATAAAGATACTGATCAAATGCAAAATGACTTTAAATTAGGTTTTTTATTTCTACACACTATTTCCAATTTATCAAAATTTCATGTATTAATAATTATTAACAATATCAATATTATTTACTTCAATTGAAGCACCAACATTATCGTTAAAAATACTTATATTTCTTTAATTATTAACAATTTGTAAGATTATTATACGTTTAATCACAGGACAGTTTTGCCTCCGCAGATAAAAGTTTTAATAATTTTTCTTAATTAAAAAGTAATTTAAACATTTTATAATGAACGTACATGAGGTATCCATTGGAATAAAAATTACAAGATATCTGGATGCAATGAATGATTATAGAATTAATCTGTTTGATTACTTAATTATTATAAATTTGTTCAACCTTATACAACATAAACTGTTTTTCATCTGGTTACCAACCAAGATACGTAATTTAATTTTCAATCACTTTAAAAACATCTAAATTTAATCACTTTCTTATACGGAGGTACTTTAACATTATATGACAGATGTGACTCCAAATTTCACTGTTAACACACCTGGTACGTTTATTGTAAAACCGATTTTTTATTAAATGAGTTTTTTTTAAATACAATCTCAACGATAAGTACCATTAATGATTTAAAATTCACCAAAAACTATAATTTTTTGGACGAATTTTTCCGTAACTGTTATTCATAAAAATAGACAATTTTATAATTTTACTAAATCGAAGAAAAAATATTTGTTTTTATTAAAAATTTTGTTACTAGTTTCAGTGCATTTAATAATAGTGTGCGATTGTCATTATTAAATTAATTTGTTAATTTGTTGTAAATCAAGTAAAAAACCACAGTTACATGAAAATGGAGTGAATAACAGTTTAGTGACAACAATAAGAATTATTAGTATTAAATTTTGTAAGTATCTTGACAATTGTCACATTGTAAAATTGCTAAAAAACTTTAGTTATACGTATATATTTATAATCTTAGAATTGTATTATATATTAAATTCAATCGATCAAGATAAAAGTAATTTCTTTCTGCTACAGCTGATAATGTTAAGCAACATTATCATTTAAAAGTGCTTATATGTAGTATCTAAAGTGCATATTTTATGTATACATATATAAATTCATATGCATCAAGTTGGGCTTAACGTCAATGATTTTGGAAGTTTTTGTTACATACCTAAAGAAATCAACGTTAATACAGAAAAATATTATTCGTGTATGAAAAACATTATAAACAATCATATTTTTAAATAAATTCTATCGTGAGTCACTTAAAAAAAAAAATAAAAAAAACGTTTAATAAATTTTAATTCACACAAGTTTTAATAGAAAATAAATAAAAATTTTTTTATAACTCGAACAAAAATAGTAATAATATGGTGCGAAAATTTGCATGGTTTTCGTTGATATTATATATTTCAACGAATCGAATATTAAAAAGAAAACATAAAAAAAATAAAACAGGAAAACAATTTTTTTACGGCGTTATGATTGTTGGATTAAGATTTTAAGTATTACAGAGATTCGTTTTGTACTTATTCAAAAGGCATTTAGAGGATGCGTAATCCTTAGGAAAATTCCAAAATCATTGAAGTAAAGATCACGGTTCATAATATATCTGTATATTAGGTTTATTTATGAATTATTATATATCATACGTCGTAGTATTGCCAAAAATCGCTAACAGCGATAACAATTATTGCATCTCAGTTGATAGTTAATAAATATATTAATATTCGAGGAAGCTTAATGGAATTCTATGGCAATATTGTAAAAACTCTTAATAGGTATCACAGTAATTGTGATTAAGAACATCAACGGTATCACCTTTATCCTGTTTTAATTGAATAATTTTGTTTTAAGTTTAATTTTATATAGAAATAAAGTTAATGATTACACTATTATAAGTCGATAACGAAAAAGTTTGTAAAGAATACATTTGATTTTTAATTTTAATTTTACACAGTAATTTCAATACTGCCGACAATTTTTGTATTGATATGTCACAATTGTACTAATTCTTTGAAATCACTAGATAATCAATCGTACATGTATTTTTAAAATTTTTGGTCTTAATTATTTAACCTACATTAAATATTGTCGCCTAGATTAAAAAATTAAAAAAAAATATATATTTTATAGAATGATAAAATATTTTTATAATCGATTTGTAAAATTTTGTTGTCTTAAAAAAAATTTTTTTTCAAAAAATAGAGAATATGATAAAACGTATTTAAAAAAATGGATGACTCTTATTATTCGTAGTGTAACAATAAATATAGGTAAATGACAACAGAGAGTCGATTCATTCAAAGTATAATTCCATTTGCATTAGTTACTAAAAGTGCGTAAAACAATTTATTGTATATGACATACTACCTTATATAATTATAATTCAATAATAACCCTGTTTACGTTGATCCCACGTTAAAATATTTTAATTTCTAAACATTTTTTTTTTTTTTATTCGAATTCGTGACGAAAATTCTTAAACTTTTAACTTGAGACGTTTTTCAAGAAAGTATTATTTATAAAAAGAGTTAAGTTATTTACAATTCTCTTAGTCAATTTCACGAATAATATACGAGTTTTTTTTATATCAATTCCATTAATTATATTTATTTTAATAAAATTAGAAATAATAATAATTATTGTGTTAAATATATTGTTTATGATATAGTTTGAGTTGTATGTTCATCAGAAATCATTTTCAAGAAATACCCCAAAAAATTTTCAAGTATCTAGAATTTTCTAGACAAAAAACAAGAATCAGCATGTGCTAAATATAAGTAGAAATATTTATAATAATAATAATAATAATAATATAATTATTTTATAAAATGTACAACCTACCAATGAAAAAAAAGATTCAAAACCGGACCTTATGTTTCAATGATTCCATACGTAATTCACCTTTACTCTTCGCTATTCATGTTCGAATTGAATGTAAATTAATAATGAAATAATAATAATAATAATAATAATAATAATAATAAAGTTAATTATAACTGGCAGTCATTTCAATACTATATTAAATATCATTCTACTAACTAAATTATCTCCAACAAAACTGTAAATATATTGGACTTGATATAACAAATTATAAAACATGGTACAATAAAATCAAAAAAATAAATTCCATAATATTAAGTAATAAAAATCAGGTATGGTTAGCTTCAAAACTGAGAAGAAACCGTAAATAAATAATATGAGAAACGATAACATTGAGTTAGTTGACATATTGAAAAAAATGTGATTGTTTCTCTTGAATGATATGTGTCAGACATAGGGGGCCCCCTGGTGGATTTAGATTGACTTCCACTGTGGTTTGTGGGGGCCCCTTTGATGTCAAGTTTGTCCACGAGGTACCCAAAGTGCTTTACTTTGCTCTTCATCAACAGCGGCTTTCACTTGCGTACATATGTATGCTATATTTACACCAGCAGAGATAACAGCTGTAACATTAAAAAAAAAATTAATTTTCATCACCAATACAAATATTGTTAGAAAATTAATCAATTATTAATTTTTTTATCTTACTAGAAATGTAATGACGATATTCAGCTTCTAATTTAAGTGCATGTTCATACATTTCCTTTGCTGCTTTGGCGCTTACTTTATCACTAGGATATCTCGAATCTTTAACTTCTTTTATTTGTTTCGTACTCTTGAACTTTATTAACAAAACTATTGGATAAATTTGATGCCTATGAAGACGTTCTATTGAGGCAACAGATATATCCAAAATACAATGGGATTTCTGCATAAAAAAATAATATAATTAAATTTTAATTGTTTTTTATTTATTTTTAACTTCCCGCTAAGAAAATTGAAAATTTTCAAAAGTTGGGAAGTTATTGGTTTTACCCCGTTTTTCGAAAATCGAGTTTTCAACGGATATTGATGTTTTAAGGTCCTAGGAAGCTTCCCCAAATGTTTCCGTGATGATGTCCGTATGTGTGTGTGTGTGTGTGTGTGTGTGTGTGTGTGTGTGTGTATGTATGTATGGCCGTATCTAAACCTCTCCTAACTTTTGAACGGCTTGACCGGTTTCATCGCAGTTGGTGCCATTCGAAGGAGCTTGACCAAACATGGATTTTTAAAATAATCTGGACCGATTCGAACCGGTAAATATTGAAAAATCTCAAAAAAACTACAAAAAAAATTTTTTTAAATGTCGAATAAAAAAATTGGAATAACTTTCAAACGGCTTTACCGACAGATTCCAAAAAATAATCAGCTCTCAACATCAAAAAATCACGTCGGTCGCCGCCGGTCCGGTCAAAATCGGTTGATTCGTTCGTGAGTTATCGTTGTCGAAAGAAAACCGAAAAAAGTGTTTTTTCGGAATTCCTCGTTCGATCAATTGAAACTTGAAAGTTCTTTTTGAGGCTTCAAAAATTGCATCGAATGCTGCCAACCGCGTGAAAATCGGTTTATTCATTCAAAAGTTATTGAATGAATAAACCGTTCATTCAAAATTCAAAAAATAGTGTTTTATTTAATTTCTATCAGACTTTTGAGCTCGGAGAGCTCAAAATGACACGAAAATTATATTTTTGAGCTTGAAAAGCTCAAAAACGTAATAAGTGCAATTTTGAGCGCTTAAGTATGGAATTAGCGGGAAGTTGCAGGGATGGCCTTTAGGGTCAACCGTTTTCCTAATTTTTTTTTTGTAAGTTAATTAAATTCTATAAAATTAAAACTATTTATTGTTTACTTACTTTAACACATATTTCTTTCACAGCATCTACAGTTGTACATTCAAAATAACTTCCTTTTTTTCTGTAATCAACATACTGAAAATCTCGTATTCCTTGTTCAAGAGTTGCTTGTGAGCAATGCATTGCTTCTGGTATGCATCGAATAAACTCTCCAGGAAATTCTTGAAGTAATTTTGTTGTTACACATTCATTTAATGGACCAATAATCAATACCGGTCGCAATGTTGGATCTAAAATAAAAATAAAATTATTTGAGTAAATAACAAAGATGAAAAATCTTGTTAAAAAAAATATTGAAATTTTTGTTACAATCTAATCTCTCAACACGTTGATAACTAGCTGGTACATTTTCTTCATTCAAAGTTCCACTGTCACTGTACCATCCAAGGTTAACTCCAGTAAGCTGTGAAAGTTCTTTACTATCTCTACTTGACGATCTGTGGTGCTTTTTCCGTCTAAAGAAACTTCTTCTTGCACTGGTAGTACCCCGCCTTCCTGTATCAGTTTCTAAGTCACCCAGTGATCGTCTTAACAATAATTCTTCTTCAATTTTAAATTTACTCGGTATAATACCACATTGTTGTCTTCTACCAGCTTTATCGACAAGCCAAGCTCTCCAATGTCCTGGAGTTCCGTTAAACATTGTATTATCAACATATAGAATATCATCTTTTTTAAATCGTAATTGTAAACTGTCACCAACTTCACCTACTCGATCAAACATTGCCTTGACATAAAAACTATCACCGGGTTTGTCTTTAACTTCGTTGTACCTTTCCGGCATAAACTGAGCAACGAGAGTGACTTTATCAGCTGGTCGTGCCAATTCAAGTGCTGCTTGTTCTGCAGTTGCTTGTCGTAAATCAACACCATTGTATTCTAAAATTCTATCACCGGTTCTTAGTCCAGCATCTTCAGCGAGACAACCTGGTTGTACTGAATGAACAAAAATACCAACACCATTACCACCAACCAAAGAAATTCCAAGATTTGAACATTTACGTGTTTCTATAAATAAATATCGAGGTTCAATAGTTGGTGGACTTTTTTGATTTTGTTCCTCTTGTGTTGGACTTCTTACTGTAGCATTTTGCCGCTGCAGTGTTGTAACCGCTTGATTTATTTGACTTCGAGTTAAAGTATTACCAGCGCTCCGTAAAGAATCAATTGTTGCTGAATTACGTAGCTCAGGTTTTCTTATATTAATATCTAATGATGCTGATTGTCGAATTTCTCTTTCACGCTCTTGAGTTCCACGAACTTCCATTGAAGCTGAACTTCGAACTTCTCGCTCTCGTGATGGTGGCATTAAAGTGTTTATTTTTTCTCGTTCAAGTTTATTTGGTTCGAGAGTCTCTAAAGTTGTTTTTCGAAGTGCTTCAGGACTGTTGCAAGGAGTTGGTGATCCACTTCGACTAGCACCTTCCTCTCCACCTGCCTCGGAAGAACTTGAAGAACCTGAACCTTCAAGCTCATTGTATTCTAATTATACAAAAAACAAAAAATTATCTCATTAATATAAATTATTTCAGAACCGATATAAATTTACTATTCACTTATTAACTGTATTTAATAGCTGTATCGTATTTAGTTGTTTCTTTTTTTGTTTTTGCTTTAAAAATTGTGAACATAATTTTCATCGATTCTGATTCAATAAATAAAATTAATAAGAAAGTGGAAAAAAAAAACTACTTGTAAAAATGTTAATGATTGGATTAATGTTAAAATAGTGCTAAAAAAGTTAGTAAAAAAATACTTTGAAATTTTATTCTCTCCCACAAAACTTGAAGATACTCACTATCTGGACTGTACTGGACCAGCATCGTGATAGAATTACCACATTGTCTGAGTACATGTGCAGCTAATTCATAAGTAGCGCTTCTCATGTTGATACCACAAACCTCAAGAAGTTGATCTCCAATTTGTAATCCAACTTGTGAAGCTAAACTGTGTTCATTAACGGTGGAAACAAAGACACCACCACTGTCTAAACACGAGATTTGAATTCCAAGAGGTTCAACAGATTTATCAATATGGACTCTTCGGAGTTCTCCTGGTGCTGGTCGTGGTTGGGTAAAATAATCAGGCATACTAGCTCGTTTTACATTAAAACTTCCCCGCACAGCTCTTCCTCCGTTAGTACCTCCAATACCAGGACTCAAAACTTCAACATGAAATGTTGGCATAGGACTACCTCGTTCGGATGTTCTTTCAATACTACCCGTGGATAATTTTCCAACGCTACTTTTAGATGTAACACTAGGATTTGATGGTATTCTAAACCTCTGATTTTCTTTTTTCCTTGGAAAAGTCCCTCCTTCATAACCATGAGTGTATCCAGGTAAATCATATGGGATACCTGCAGGATGCCCTCGAGATTTGTGATAGTGCAAGTCTACAGATGGTGTATGTAAATGACCAAATCCTGGTTGTCCAGGACTATAAGGGGGCTCAAAACAAAAAGATCGTACATCTGGAAGTCCAATAAACTCTCCAGACTGTGCGGAAGGCAAGGACGGTGGTGAGGGGTAACGAGACGGCAAAGAGTTTTGTTGGTGTGGATGTGGATGTGGATGTGGATGTGGATGTGAGTGCGCGTATGGGGGAAACGAAAAATTACCAGCAAGCTGTTGTTTTGGCACACTTGAAGAAGATCCTGAAGTCGTCACCAGGGGGTACAGTTGAGAATGAACGCGATTGTGCTGTAGAGCATCTGACTGATTTTCATGACTACCTGAAGTGTACGGCTTTTGGGTACGTCGTTTTGCGTGACCATAATCCGGCTCTCGACCTGTTGATTTTACTGAAAAGTCCATACTTGTCTCTGAAGGTGCATGAGATGAGCTTAGCCGATTCTCCGTAGTCTCGAACTCCGTCGAAGGCTTCTTGCTGTCCAGTGACATATCCTTAAACTGAACAGCAGGAGAAAATGATTTCTGACCAAAAAGTTGACCAGATTTACTTAAATTTGAAATTGGATATTCTACGGCTTTATATACTGTATGACGATTGCTTACGTTTGAAAACGTTGAGAGTGGAACCGGGTTGGAAGTACGGTTGTAATTGAAGCTTTCGTATTTGGGTGGATGATTTAAAAGTACACTCAATGGAAGTCGTTCTTTTGTTTTTCGAGGTTGAAGAATCGTTCCAGTACCATTTTGGATTAAAGGTCCACCACGAGCTTTTGGCCATGTACCTCCATTTTTCTCAATCTTCTCAATTTTCTCAGTGCCTCTTCGTTTACTTCTTTTAAATACTCCATTATTTGTTTTTTTGTGATAGCTCTCAATGACAGAATCGAGTTCAGCAATTGCATCTTGTTCTTGTTCAAATGTATTTGGACTTGAATTTCTATGACGCTTTTTTTTATCATCTCTATCTTTACTATGTCTTCTACCGGTGACAATATCTATTTTTTCACGGAAATTTCCCCAAGCATTACTTATTCCGCTGGATTTTTCACTACTAACTGATTTTGATACTTTATATATACTTCTATCACCAAAATTGGACGCAATATAACGTCTTTCATAATCATCTGATGTTGCCTTTAACATCACTTTCATTCTCTCTTGTTCTGTTTGTGAACAACTATTTACCATTTTTTGTTTATCAGAACCAAAACTACTATCAATAGTCTCAGTACTCAGTATTGATGACAAGGCTATTCCCTTCAAGGTTGTAATCGTCAATACATCAACTGAAGTGTCATTTAAAATAGACATAGCCTCGTGAGTTGAAGTTACACCCTCCATTGGTTTACTATTAATATTTAAAACTCTATCTCCAGCAGCTAAATTTCCATCTGTAGCAGCCAGACTACCTGGTGAAATTTTAGCAATGTAAATTCCAAGCTCTAAAGATATACCATGGGGTACAGAACCAATTGGTAATTGAATTGTTCTCAATGATCGTCGAGTAGTTCTTCTTCTTCGAACGGTTAATGTCACCGATGATTCTACTGCAAAATCACGTAAATTTTCTAAAATTCTTCTCGTCGATTCAGTAGAACAATCAACATTATTAACACGAATAATACAATCATCAACTTTCAATTTTCCATCTACAACACTTCCGTTAGTTACTTTAGCTACATAAACACCAGTATCATTAGGATAGTTTGGATCTTCACGACCACCAGCAAGAACAAAACCTAGATCTCTTTCATCCTGACAAACTCTACCAAAATCGATGGGAATTGAAAGAATATCCCACTCAGCCATACCATCATCATCATGATATTGACTTGATCGTAACGAATGATCACCATTTTCTATTTTTTCTTTCAGATCTTTCAATTCTCTAGATGCTTCATTTCGCTGTTTTTTAATATCATCTGAATCACGAAGAGCTATAGCGAGTGCGGTAACAGCCTGATCTCTTTCTGCTCTTAATGTTTCGCACGTAGTTCGCATACTCTCCCGTTCTAATACTATTTTATCTCTTTCACTAAATGCCCAATCACGTCGTCGTTTTGATACCTCGGCTTCTTGTAATGCTTCCTCTAATTCAGCTTGCAAAGTATCCACAGCTTTTCTTAATTTATCTAGCTCTAAATTGGCTTGATCTAAATTGTCCATTTGTTCTTTCTCACGTTTGGCGTAGTTTCGAGTACTAGTCTCTCTCTCAATTTCTTTATTTGAATTATCTCGTTCACGATTATGAGAATGTATTTCTAATCTATTGTTGTAATCTCTACTCGAGTCTTCTGAATAATCACCAAATTTATGTTTTAAGTCTTCACATTGTTGTAAATATTTATCACGGTCGAACAGAGCCGATGATATCTCTTGTCTTAATGTCTCGATTTGATATGAAAGTGTTTTTTTCTAGATAGAAAAAAAAAAAACATAAATAATGTATTTATACAAATAGAGAAAAATATCATCAGTTAATGTTTTAATAAATAAATTTAAATAAACAAAAGAGGAAAAAATTACCTCATCAACATGTTGTTTGTTTTGATTTTCTAATTTTGCTATTTTTTCATAAGCTTTTGTCAAATCATCCCCAAGCTTTTCCATCTCTTTATGAACAGTGTCCCGTTCGCCCATTATTAACCTATACTCTTGTAAAGTTGAATTTCTTTCTTCAGTTAGACGTTTTAGATCTTTACTAGCTTTTATGCGAAGGACCATCCCTTGATTAACTTCTTTAACCGCTTCTTCATGTTGTTGTTGAAGCTTTGCCAATGCTTCGCGGTATTCATTTCTTTCACGCAGGGCAATATCCCATTGTCTTATTGCGGCTGTACATTGTTGCTTCAATCCATTTCTTTCTCTAAATGCATTATTACGTTCTTGAATAACATCATCATGGTCTTTTTTCCACCTCGCTGCTTCTTTTTCAATTAACTCAAACTAAAAAAAAAAAAAAAAAAACAGCAATAATCTCATTATTAAACCTATCATACCAATAAAATTATATAATAATGAATATATATCCTATATTATTTACAAATACCTTATTTTTAAGAGAAGAATGTGCTGATAAAAGATCATCATGTCGCTTTCTTAAAGCATCATATTCATCTTTAAGAGCTTCATACTTTCTCAATACCGATAAATAGTGCTGATTAATAGCATCACTGTTTCCCGAATCTACAACAAGGCATTCTTGATTCTGGCATCTCAATTCAGTGACTTCCTTCTGTAGTGCTTGGACCTCACGATCAAGCCGCTGTTTGTCATTGATAAGGTCACTATATTTACCCCGAAGAGCTGAAGTTTCTTGTGACGTTGCTTCCAGCTGATTCATTGCTGCAATATGTTGTCCTCGATAATATTCCAACTCTTTCATAGTATGTTCATTCCTAATTAAAATTAAAATTATTAACAGTGTGATAGATGGTAATCGACCTTGCAATAAAAATAGATTATAATTATAAAATAATCCTACGCTGCGACGAACCTTCATTTGACAGCTATACTATTTTTATTTTTAAAAATCAATACTATAGGGTATCAAGAGCCTCGAGCCCCATGAGAATGTTGTTAAGTTTGCAAATAACGTGACATAGTTAAGCGGTAACACATAAACTCAAGATTAACGTTTATTGTAGGATTATAAAAAAAAAAAAGAAAAAAAAAAGAAATAGGTCAAAAGAACTGATCAATACAGTATAAAATATGAGAAAAAAAAAACTTTACTAACAAAAAGATATCACAGATTGTTATTGTTATTATTATTATTTTTTTTTTTAATTTGTTTAAAGTCGCATAAACTACTAAGGTCATGAGCGACTACGGTAGGGGGTAAACTTTTGAGATTGGAACTCGTTTGTATTTCTTGGGCTGAGCAGAATAATACACTTAAATATTGAAAATATTCATTGGTGTACGCCGGATTCGAACCTGGTCCAATGTTTTGATAGCAAGGGCCGGATCCGATAGGCTACCGCGCCTTTTTTTTTTTTTTATTTATTATTATTTTAAGTTAATTGACTATAAAATAATGATAATTCAAAAAAAGAAAAAATAAACAAACAAACCGTCTAACTGTATCTGAGTGCTTATGTCTAAGGAACTGGAGTTCGTGCATAGCTTGATCACATTGTGCCTGCAATCCGTCGTAATCGCTACGACATTCAGGACCTCCCACTGGACTTCCAACACTGCCGTAGCCTCCACTATCCCGTTCTGAAAGTCGTGCAAAACAAGAATCGAAAAAAAAATGGGGATAAGATGTACGTACGAAAAAATAAATTATAAGATCTGTTTAAGAAGTCCTTCTAAGATAAGATAAACTAATGGTTTAGTTATTAGGAAAAAAAAAATATTTTTTCTGTCATCTATACTTTTTGCAAATTTATTTCATTAATACAAAAAAAAAAAAAGTACGGGATGACTTTTCAAAAGTCTTAAACATAAAATTGAAATTTTTCAACAACATACAATTTGTAATTTAAAATAAAATACAGTTCATTAAGATCCTTTTGATTTTTATAGATATTTGTTGAAGTAACTAATCTCAGAAAAATAAAGAAAAAAATTTTAAAGTAAATTTGATCAAAAATTACCGTGTAAAAAAATAAAAATGCTATGCATTGCACACAAAAAATAGTGTTTGAGAATGTAATAAAATATTAAGTGGTGAATAACTAAATAGTTAAATAATAAAGTGATTATAATTTTTCAAATTAATAAGAATGTAAATCTTACCAATATTAAAGACTCCATCTGGAAAAAGGAAAATATTTTTACAAGCTTGACAGTAAATGATTTTATTCTGATTATTTCACGATATATAAAATCAATACCCTAGTAATAAATAATAACAAAAACCATTGTAGCATAAAAAATAGCTTAATATTTATTATTTGTTTTATCTTATAATAATAATAATAATAATAATAATAATAATAATAATAATAATAATAATAGTAATAATAATAAAGAGAAAAAAAACAAAAATTCAAAGTAGATTTATAAATAGAAAACTAATTGTTACCGAAAGAAATAAATATGAATCTTATAAACATCTAGCTTTCACTCAGAAAAGAAATTCAGTTACACATGGAAGCACTTGGGTTTTTTCCATTGCAAATTAGATGTAAAATTAAAAATTTCTCATTAAATAAAACGAAATGAAAGTAAAAATAATAAAAATATAGATGTGTATAAAATAAATATTTACCGCTACTTCCAGCACTATCTAGAGATGATGTACCAGAAGCCATAACTTTGGTCCCCGTTACTTCACGTCGCCCCTTTGTATTTGGGCTTGAATATTTTTACCATCGGAATTTGTCCAGCGAATTGTACACTAGATTTATCCTGAAAATTTATCAATACGTAATAATTAATTTTTTACGGTAGAATGAGCCCTTTGTTACAATATAAAGTAAAATTCATCTACGATTATTACAATGACATTTCTCATTTTAATAAAATTCAATGAACACAAGAGAATAATTCATTTTTATCACAGAAATTCTTCAACTGAATATAAACTAAACAGGTGGACGTATTTTATGTCACAAATAAAATATATTAAAAAATTATATGATATGATCTTTACAATTTAGATATTTTGTTTAAGTTGGTGGTATTTAATATAAGTCAAATCAAAGAACTTATGTTTTCCGAACGGTTCTATAAGTCTGCTTTTTCATCTCGGTATATTCAATGGTGATGTGTCCCGAGTGTCCCGACACATTACCGAAAAACATTAATTAATCACAATTTAGTATTAATTTTAATTATTCAATTTGCAACTCAACACTAATTCATTTTTTTTCAATATTTTATATTCATAAATAGTATTCAGTCATTTTTTAAGAATGTTTTTTTTTATTTAAATATATAGTTTTATCTTAAACTTTTACACTAAAAAAATAAACATACAAACAAAGTCGACATTTAATTATAATGAAATATCATCGCAACACTTATCACAGTTGTGTTAACAAATTATTTTTAAACAATTATTAACTTAATCCGACAAAAAATTACATCTTGACTTACCTACAGCACCAACTATCCTGACAATTAGCCATTTTAATCCACAACATACGAACAGTACGCAATTCACTCAAAGCTTAAAGGCAGCTTTCTATATAGCGTTCATTCACTCTTGAGGTTCTGAGCCCGTTACGTCTACCACATACCACGTGATCTGTTTTTGAATTTCACTAATGAGAAAACCACCAAAAGTTATTTATATTTTTTAATTATAAAAAAATCATTATCTCTCGGAATCTAAAATTTGTTATACTTAAATTAACAGACGTTTGATAAGCTTTGTGATTTTTACAAACAAATAAATTACTAAATACTTTAAATGCAAATTTTTTTAATATTTATTTATTAAATAAAATTAAAAAATTGTCAGAAGCCTGCTGATTTTAACATCCTAAAAAATCACTATCATTAAAACAATTAAACTACATAAATACTTAAACTTATTAAAGTTAATCGCTTTATTAACGATTAAAATAAAGAAACTATTTATATCTTAGTAAATTCAAAAAAGTGTAGAGGATTCTTTATTTTAAAAATTTTTGTCAAGCCCTAGAAAAATCAATGACTATTTGAATTGTTGATGAAAAAAAAAAAGTAATAAAATAGATTCTTGCTAGGTATCAAAATTATAAGTAACATCAATATTATATATGTGTAATTAAATTACTTACAAAGGAAAAAAGTTTTTTTCCATTTCATCTTAGAAAACTGGAAAAAATTAAAAGAATAGTAAAATTTTCTTAGTTTTCTAAAGTGATTTTCGAAAAGTAAAAAAAAAATGATTTTTGAATCACGCAAATTTTTTTTAGAATTTTAAACAGTGAAAATCGATATAAAAATCACTTGATTGAAAGAAAAATAAAGTAATTAATTACAAAAAATGCATTTACATATTATATATCAGTCACTTCCATTAGTCTTTTGTTGTTAAATAAAACTATTCTATTCTATTAAAAAATATTGTTATTTATTCTTTCCTCTGTAATAATACAAAAAATGAGACAATTGATAACAGTTGAACATAATAATTATATTTTTCATGATACCTATTCGAGTTCATTAGCAATGTTGAAAAAAAATTTCAGCCAATACCCATCTTTGATCAGTCCAAGTAATAAAAATAAACAGCTCTAAAAAAAATTTCCATAAGTATGAGGAGATGATTAATGTATTTATTAGGAAGAATCCGTAAATACTTCAAATACTCTACCTTAAAAGTTAAAAAAATTTGGAGCGACATTTTACACTGATGTAATAATTAGCAATATTTTAACATTCATCCAACTATTTAATAAAATTGATTTACGTATTTAGCTTAAAATTTCATTAGAATTTTGCTTTTCAATTGCTAATAGTTTTTGATTAAAAATTTTATCAGTTCAAATAAATGAAACCAAAATTAATTGTTAAGCGATTCGGATACAAGCTCTAACGTTGGCACGAGGATTAAAAAAATTTGTTTCAAACAATCAAAAACAACTATACACTTCCTCCGTTTTATTAAATACAGATATAGTCCTCATGTTATGGACATTAAAGTAAAGATGTTTGTTTGTGATGGTATGAGGTACAATGGAAAAGAAATAATTCAAAAAGTAATTCATCTATTATAAATGTATATATTTATGGTGTAATATACGTCTATTTACAAAGATATAATTTATTTATATTATATAGTTTTACTCTTCTTTTTTTTTTATTATATATAAACAATTTTTTTTTCAACAGTCATACTTGTCATAAAATATTATAGATTTATCTCATTTGATTTCGAAAGGCCAATAATCACGATATATACTTTGTTGTTTTTTACGAAGAGGACAAGGCAAGCCTTGCTACTAACTATTTGTACACAAGTTCTGTCTTGACTATTTAGATGATTAATCTTTTTAAAAATAATTATCTTATAAGAATCCCTGTTTAGAAATATATTTTACGAACATTTTTTAGAACTTATTTTTTTCATTTCATCATCAAATTTGTTATAATCAGACTAATACGAATGATTTGGTGTATTAATACAAATGAAAAATTATGATTTTTATATTTGTAGACTAACATAAATAAAATTATATACTTGCAAATTGAAATATAATTTACTTTGAGGCAGTGGTATAATTTAATATTTTTTAAGTCACTAAATATATAGAATGAAATATTTTGATAAAAAATGAAATGATAAAATTTTTTATTTCAGTTGTGAAAATTAACATTAAAAATAAATATTTCATGATTTATTTTATAAATAAAACAACCGAGGAAAAAAATAACTAAATAAAATAAATGGTTTAAGTGATTATGCAAAATAGTGAATAAATGATACATGTTTTTATCTGTTAAACTTTGGTATTCATAATGTGTTTAAATAAGTTGACAAAGCATTACAATAAAACTTTCATGTTAAACCTCTTGATATAAGAATAAAAATAATACAATGGTTGTTTTTACACATCAATAATATAATTTATAAACATAATGTATTAATCTGGATACTTATAAAAGAAAAAAAAAAAAAAAAAACATTAAGTGTATAATACTAATCAAATAAATATTTGAACCATATACTTATGAATACAATAATAACAGAAGCAAATAACTTATCAATCGATTCATTAGATTATTATAAAAAATTTGGTTTAAAGCTTAAATACCTATATTATACTATAAAATTAAATCTTTGAAAATGAGAAGCATATTTTTTAATAATTACTAACGTTTTTTTTAGTAAAAATTTCGCTTTTTTTTTTAATAATTTTTGGAGCGTAAAAATATTAAAAGCCATTTTACATTTTTTCCAATTGACTAAGTCGTAGCAATAAAAGTATGTCAAAATACAAGAGACACCTAAAGTAAGTAAAGTAATAGTGTTAATCAATACTATAAAATGTTTTAATAACAAAATAATCTGATGATGATACTATGTTATCGTACATTTTTATATTTTGAAAATTTATTACTATTCTATTAATTGGTTTTTTACTTTCATCTATTCTACTTTATTTCATTATATCTTCAAATTTCAACTAGTCTTAAATCTATGCCAAATTTATTGAGGTTTTTTTGTTTTTTTAAACATTGACTAAGACAAGGGCGTAGATTTATCATAATACTAATAACAATAAATAATATGATAAATATTTTATCTTCCATTTAAAAATATCAATCATTTTTTTACGTTCTCTTAATTTTCTTATACTATTAACTAATTATCTCCGAATATTTTGGAGATCATGCGAATACTTTAATTTAAATTAATTAATCATAATAATAATAATAAAAAAAATAATATTAGTAATACAATAATAGTGATAATAATAGCAATAAAAATGATAATAAATGTGTCATATTTAAGCATTTAAACTATTGATGTAAATATCTACTGATAAATAAATAAACTATCATTATTGTTAATAACAATAAACAGTGATGGTCTTATTGCTGAATGAAAAGAATATTTAATAAAATAAAATAAATTAAACTGTAGGTGTCGATTGATTATTGCTATCCAATGGATTACTAGATGAGCATTCTTTAAGCATTGCTCTGAGTCGTAAAATTTCTTTGGACGCAGTCGCTAAGTCGGACTGTAATTGCATTTCTTTTTCACGAAGACGTTTAATATCTCGTTGGCATGTCTAGACAAAATAAAAATTCATTTTATTTCAAGTATCATTTTATAAATATTAGTTGAACTATAATTACAGCAGAACCTCTATAATTTAAACAAATAATTCGAGTATTATTAAGTCCACGAAAAAAAAGAAAAAATTTCTTATTCGTTATTAATTTTTAGTGTTTTAGGAGTAATTAATCTCATAATTTTAACCAGATCAATTATTGATCTCAAATAAAATTCGTTGTCAAAATTTCAACTTCAAAAACCTTCTTAACTTCAATCATGATTAGTAAGAAACTTGATAACTCAATTTTTTAACATTTTCTTTGAATTTTAGCTTATTGAGGTTCTACTGTACCAATAAAATATAAACTTACCACATTCTGTCTTAACAAGTCCAGCTTGTCGCATTTCAATCTAGTGACTTCTTGCCGTAAATTTTCCGTCTCGTTAGCGCTATTTTTATTATTATTATTATTATTATTATTATTATTATTAATATTATTATTAGTTTTAGTAGTTTCATGTGTTTCAGCAGAACTCATTGACTCTAATCCAGTATCACTATCTGGATAAACAGCTTGATCGAGTTCTAATTCACTATTTAATGAACTGTCATCACTTTCAGATACTATTCTATGAGTAACCTCTAGTTTCTCAGATCTATCATCACGTTTTCTTATATTTTCGTGAGTAAGACGTGGAAAAGTAATGGTAGGACTTTTCTCAATTGTCCCAACGCTGTCATTTTTAACTCCGGAAGTCAATTGTATTGTTGTCGACTCTCGTTTATCTATTTCATTTTGTTGCAAAGTTGTCAGGCTACTACTGTCTTGATTATCAGTGTTTGATAAGCTACTATCCTGACTTCCTAAACTTGGACTTGTGCGATCAGAATCCCTTCTCAGAGTTAAATCAGGAGATCCCAGAGGACTAGAAGGTTCAATATTACGTTTACCACCAATCTTTGATGTTGATTGTCGATTGCTAGGTGGACTTGGTTCAGATTGGCCCTTTTTAGCTAATTGCTGAGGTACACTTTCAGTTGATGCATTTCTTACTCGTGAAATTAACGCTTTGCGTACAGTATCAATAAATCTTGAACCACTGCCACTACTTCCCGAAATCGGGGCGTCACTTGTCGTTGGACTAACTGGGCAAGTACCTGGACCAGAGACACTAGGACCAGATCCAGCTCCTAGAAATTCGCTTGTTTTTGTTTGAAGTTCGTCGACCAACGATTCCAAAAGTGCTGACCGCGTTCTCAACTATAAAAATAGTACAAAATTAATTTAATTATCTGTAAATGACTATTTAATTTAAACAGAGTGAAGTAATGTTTTAAGTGACTATATAATTTAGAAAAAAGTATTAGATTTTAATGCGGCCGCTCACCTCTAGTTTCGCAAACTTTTCTGCCTTATAAGCTGCATTCTCAGCATTTACTAGTTTTGTAAGCAAAAACTCTTTGAACTCGACGCCTCGGAGGAAAACCGCAGGCGTTGGTAATGCTGGTCCAAACCAAGGTACGTCATCCCGTGCAGTAATACTTACTTTGTATCTAAATAAATAAATAAAATAAAAATATTATAACTATAACTTGACTACATTTGTTTGGTTTCTAAAAGTATTTACATTACAAGCATTTTTTTCCACTAATCTTTCTAAATAGTAGAAACAGCATCATAAAAGATGAATACCTTGTATTAGGTGTGCATGGATCGATGACTTGAACAACAATGAAGGCATGAAGAAAGTGGCTAGCAATCATATCGGGACTAAAAGGAGTCGGTTCTTCTTGAAATATTATTGCTACGATATCGTTCCCTATGTGTCGTTTACGTTGAAGCTGCTGAGAATCACCGGGACTATAGGGAAGCATCGAAGCTACATGAAAAAGTACTTCACGACCTCTAAATACTTCGTAAACTGCTGAATCACCTGTTTGACCGTGTCTTGTATCTAACCCACCACGATATCTAAAAATAATAATACAAAAAAAAATAAGTAAATTAGATTTAAGATCCTGAATTTTATTTCACGTCTTATAAAAAAAAAAAATTAAATTATCAATTGAGAGTTTTTAACGTTTTTTGAATGCGTAATAAAAAATAGAAGAAATCGTTTTTCTTTTTTCTTTAGTTAACTTAATTTGTTTTGAAGGATTTGTTAAAAAATTTGTATTTGTTGTACGAGTGCAATAATAAATAATTCATTTGCTTATTTTTGTATAAAAAAGAATATAGGAAAAAAGAACCATGACTTCTTTGATGGTCTAACAATATTACAGTTATTAAAATAACGCACATGCTAAAGAAAAAAAAGTACAAATTACTACAGAAGCGAGATAATTTAAATCAATTTTTTCTTCCCATTTATTAAAAATTATTTATGCAAAATATAATATTGAAAATAAAATGACTCAAGTGGAGTTGTAAATAAAAAGATAAAAATATATAACTTACCCTTTATGATCTTTCAGATCAATTTTTTGTCCAAGTAAATCTAAGAATTCTTGAAATGCCGGTGTTATTTGACGATTACCAAATAATTGTTCTTCAGTAACTTGTCCTGCTCTCTGATGTAATACACCAAATTTAAATCTGCTAACTAGAGCATGTTCATCGTATCGGGCAATCAGAGTTCCAGCTCCGGAACATACTATGGGCATCAATGTACTGACATTGAGGCACTCATTAATTGCCTGTTAAATTAAAAATAAGTTTTTATCAATCTTCATTGTGTTATTGTACATATTATTATGTCATTGTGACGTTCTTTTCCTTTTACGTATATAAATAGTTATTACGTCTCGATAATATAATCAAATCTGAATAAATGTAAAAGAGATAAAAAAACTAATTAATAGAAAAATTCAGTTGATGTGAATAATTAATTTTTTCATAATCATTTTTCAACAAGTTTCTGTAAAAATAAAAATAGATTTTTAAAATTTTAATGTTTTAAATTATAAATTTTCTCACAAAAATCAGATAATTATTTATAAGTAAATTGTTCAAATTAATTATTTTGCAGACTTGATATTGATGAATTGATTGTAGAAGATTTACTTATAATTTTTTTCAATTTCAATTTAATTAAAATTAACTCAATTATAAGTATGTGTAGTGAAAGTGAAAAAAATTTTTCTTTATATACCTTAACCATTTTAGAAGGTGATGGATTGGGTTCTAAGTTAATGGATGGTACTAATTCGTGAGTTGATCCAGATCTAATCCGAAGTAACACTCTCCAATGTTCTTGCCCAGCAACAGTTTCTGCCTTCATTGATACCAACACTGGACCATTTTCTGAGTCTCTACCAACAAGATTTACATGCTCCTGCAAGGAAAAAAATTATTCATCTATATATATGGTAAATTAAATAACTCAAATAATATTTTCGAGGATTAAGTTTTCGTTGAAGCGAATGGATAAAGTCGTGAAACGGATTTTATCGTCGGAAAATAAATTAAAATATAGTATCTACAGTATATTCTAATTTAAACAAAAAATTATCTTAATTTTTAAATTTAAGTTTCGCTTTGATTAAATGTTGGAGGGGTGAATATAACAAAATATGATAATGACGACAGATCTTTTTTTTTTGTAGAGTTTTATTTCTTTTGAAAAAATATCTTAATAATTTCGATATAGTAAACCGTTAACGAATTTTTTAAGTTTTAAAAAGTATAGGAAAATTTTTCTCTTGTTATTCAAGTGGTGATACTGATTAAATAAATATAATTATTTAAAGATTTTTTTTCATTGCTATTTGTTCTCTAGAAGACTGTTAAACTGGACATAAAAATTCATTATTTGTCAGGTAATTCAAAAATAAAACTACAAATTTGTTTAAATTACTAAAACAGCGATAAAAAGTTAATTTTTTCTTTTATATAAATAAAAGAAAAATCATAAAATAAAGATAAATTAAATAAAACATTAAATGGAGCAATTTATTGTAATAGAATTAATAAATAATTAGCAAATAAAAAGAAACTGCACAATTTATACACAAGTTGGATACTTTATCATCAGACTGTGTAACCTCGATATTGTACCGAGCGTACCTGTGCAGTATCGTTGACAATAGGCACGCATATTGCATGCATACACGCACAGCAAGCACGAAGCTTTATCGCATTGCATAGTTTATATTTAGGTATAGGTATTCATACTATACTACATATTTACATTTATAAATATGTAAGGACGAGGTTGATATAACTATAATATTACTTCCGGAGAAATTAGAAGTTAAATGATAAATAAAATATAATCTCTTCAAATTATGTAGGTACCTATATAATATAAAGATGTAATACTACTGGTCATTTTTAATTTTTCAAGTACAAAGAATCATTAACCAAATTTAAAATTATTATTTTCTATCCAACAAGTGTTTTTATAAGTAATTTTTGAACAAAAAGTCATAAATAAGTTCAGAAATATTTGTAGAATGTGAGAATTGGGCCGATGGGACACGGGGCTCGGTTTTATGCATATATTATACTCGTCCTTTTAAAAGAGTCTGATAACATAGTTAGGTAGCGAAGATATCGCTGCGTAAAGTTTAGAGTCGTTTATTTTGACTCAAAAAATTCAAATTTTTGAGTTAGAAAAATGGTTGAGGCCTCAAAACGTCTATTTGATTTTCAAAGCGATTCGATTATTTTTCAACTCACTAGAACATTTTTTTAAATTAGCGCAAAATGGCATTGTTAATAACTCATGTAATATTTGTCAGACGGAAATTAAAAAAAAAAAAAAGTACAGGGTTATATTTTTTTTTAAGTTTTACATTTTACTTTTTAATAAGACACACAATACACGAACAGTCGAAATAACGTTCTAAGACCCATCAATTTTCATAGCGAAAAGTTAAAAATTTTGAATTTGAATTTTTTCAATAGCCTTCAATTTATCAACAATTTGATAGCGGCTTTTGGTTTTTTTTTTTTTTTTTTAGAATCGAATATTGATTGTTTGAACCTATTGTGATAATATTAGAAGCTCAAGTAGAATCAATTGTTGTTTAATTTCTGTCGGTTAAACAGTTATTTTGATAACTATTTATATAAACAAGTTAATCAATTCTAAAAAAATTACTGCTGTTTAATACTACTTGAAACGGGCAAAAATCGATAATTATTGTACATACTGTAACTTGATAGATATTTATTATTGCTTTGCATCACACACAATACAATAAAAGATACGAAGGAGAAATAACATCATATGTGTTTTATTTTAGATCAATACCGTAATTGTCATTTAATTAAGTATAAGAGATAACGAATGAAATTTCTGCAAGACAATGAAACTCTTCAAAATTATTTACTTGGTTCAAGAATTTTTTTCTTTATTCACGTTAATTTTTTTATTCAGTGTGGAAATCGATTATCATAGATCATAATCAACTATAGTAACAGTACTAATAATAAAAAGAAACTTAAAATTATCAACATTCTTTGGATATAGATATTCAAAATTTTTCAAGTTATATGTAGATTGGGTTGAGTCAAAAAGACTCACCTATCAAATTTATGGCTGAAAAAAAACTTGGCAAAAATTTTAGATCAATTTTAAAGGTGTTTATGGTCATTTGAAACTTCCTATTTAAATAATACTAAAAAAAATTGTTTTTTTCATTATAACTATTCAAATATTTCAAAAGTTATTGCAGTTTTAATGAGAAAAAAAGAATACTTGTTATTTAAATAGGAAATTTCACATAGCCATAGACACATTTGATTTAATTTAAAATTTCTACCAAACAGGAAAATTTTTTCTTGGTATATAGGTCCTTTTTAATCTATAAATTCGATAGGTTATTTCTTTTGGCTTACTCTAATGCAGATAAAAATGTTCAACTAAAAAAATTAACCCTACCTATTAATTATGAAGTTTTTAAATAGATAATAAATGGTGAACTAAAATAAGCTAATAATGAAAAAAATTCTAGTACGCGTAGACGGACGTGCCTTCCATTCCTGCAATATCCACTAAAAAATATTTCTTTGATTTTATATTATATATTATGGATATTATCATATAATAAACAAGTCACAGATCTCACTATCATGATATTATTCTTTCACTAAGCGATCGATTTCTAACCCTTGCATGCACAGTTATAATACATTTATACTAAAAATCTCCAATTAGAATTGTCACTCACGTCGCTGCTAGCAAAGTTACATGGCATTTTGGCTTTATTCCAATTTATATTTCAAGCATCCTGTTTCGATTATTCAATTTAAATAGAATCTAAAACAAAGGATTAGGAAGAACTAAACTGTAACAAAAATAAATGACAAGATTTAAAACGAAGCGACTTTTTTTATAATAATTTTTGATGTTGTCATAAGTTTAACAACACTTGTTAGTTTATGCGGGGGATGTAAGTATTTTAATAAAAGCAATAAATATTAAAGTTCTAAATATCTTTTGGAGTAAATAACATTTTAACTTATACAAGTTATATAGATAATTAATGGCGGATACATGTGTTATTCATAAATTAAAAATTTAGTCGTTATGTGAAGGAATGTTGTGAGTATGGTGGGCTTACATTTCATGTGTTAAGCATACAAATTAAAAAAATTACAAACTATCCGGTTTTAAGTAATGATAATAGTCAAACAATATAATTACATATATGTTAGTGCAACTTGCAGTCACTATGTAATTGCTTATAGAATTCAAAATTAAAATTTAAGAAAATTTGGGTTTAGATTTGGGTTTTTTTTTATCACGAAAGTACATAATTTTAAGTACGAAAAAAAACATTTTAGAAATTATATTACTATAATAAGATCGATTCACTAATAATTTGATGTCATAAAACCAAGCGGTAGATATTATATAATTTAACTATTGAAATAAGTGTAAATAAATATAAGAAATTTATTGATTAAAATTTGACACCCAACCGCATTCACGTGTACAAAATTGAATAAATAAATTTTACCGAGCACAAAACTCAAATCTACTTAGAATTGTTTTAAAAACCAGACATAATAAATTAACTATTACTGAAAACCATATGAAACCTTGAAAAGGAATAAATTCAGGTTAATACCTTTCATGTGATACTAAATTTAACTAAAAAAAAAACCATTTCATCATATAATATATACACTCTGGAGACAAAATTTTCTTCATTTTTTTAATTATATAGATTAGTTTCACTACTCCATATTAATTGAAACTTAAAAAAAGGTTACTAATAAGTAGATTGATCTATTTCATCACTCTCTAAAAATTACTAAAGCAATAACTCAAAAAATATCTGATGTTACCCATTTATGGACAGTAGAAAAACTGATAAACTTTACAATGTAAAATCTTACGTAATATTTTGGAGATAATATGTAACTTTTAATTGATACTTTATTATTAAAAAATGATTTGACTTCTCTTTGTTACTTGTAATATGCTAGAAATTATTATTTGTAGAGTTGACAATTATAATAGAACCTAATAAAGAATAAGATCATCGTTGATCATGGATAATGGAGAAACAATAAATACAAAAAGTAGGTAAATACAGGTAAAGATAAAAAGGTAGAAAAAAGAACAAGTTATAAAGAAAATGATAAAAATAATACAAACAAACAAAGTTCTTGAAATCCTAAGACACTTCTTATATTATAATTTACATAAAATTTATCCTATCCCAGTATGGAAGCTACTTGACTCGATGCAAAAAATGAAATGAAAATACAAAACTGCATGAAGAAAAATACTAAAAAGTAAAATGTGCTTGTATAATGTGTGCATGGATATGAGTCAATGTATGTATATGTATTAGGTATACAATGAAAGGAAGGGAGAGAGGGTTTCCACGTAGGTTCACCTTCGTTGAAGAGCAGTTAAAACATAAGAACATAAGAACGCAAGATACATTAATAGTGCAGGAAGGGTCGATGTAAAGAACAACAAATGCTAAGAGGAGGGAGAAAACGAACTATGAGAAACTTCCCACTCCCACGCCTAGAATATTGTATAGCCTTCTTTTCTTGCGTATCTTTTGCTTCACTTGTGTTGTTGCCCAGACTTGAATCTTGGTCTTGGGTCTCTGATCATATAAGATATAAAACTAACTACGGCAAGATTCTTCATACACTATTGTGTTGTACAGGTTTATGCTTGTGCATACATCTACTAGGATATTTCGTTTATTTATTCATCAATCTCTTGTTTCTAGCACAACTCATGTGAGCCTAGTGGGATTTGTCCGAGCCCACGCGAGTATTAGACCCTCTGGAGCTTACGTAGGCTGCAAACGCAATAATTCTATTCTGATCTATGTTGTATGATGAATCAATAACTGATATGTATGTTGTGTATATTCTACACTCACTTGAAAGAACAAAGAGCATGTTTTAACAACATAGGCTTTTAAAAATTAAATAATATTTTCGAAATCATTATACCTTACATGGATGGTTTGGTAACATTTTCTGGTTGTAAAAACTACCAAATTCTAAAATAGGATTCGGAAATAATAATCTGTTGAATTTGAAAAGCAGCCGCACCTAGTCTTTTGGATAAACTGTAAATACAGAAGCGACTAAAAATGCAGACGCTGAATTGCCAAGAATAGAACTACTCCCTACCAAACTGAAATGTTTCAAGATCTCTAGTTTTAATTTTACTGACTTTCTGAAGTCCTTCAGAACATCATTAGAATTTACCGAAAGTTAATTCTCAAATTAGTATACGGATTTGTCTTTCTTTAGACTATTCTTCATTAATATCGCCTATTCAAAAATTCTATTTGAGATTTGAATATAAATACCTAACATCTAAAAATTTATAATTTTCATACCAAGAAGTTAACTAAAATAAAACTATCACTTTTTGGCTTCTTTTAATTTTTAGAATAGCGGCCATTTTCAAGCTCATTAACAGATGTGATTCATCCGCGTATATCAGGGAAATCGATGTCCCGAAAAATAAGTGAATCAAGTTTTATTAAGACAAATAAAGTTAGTTTTAACGAGGTCATTAATATTTATAATTTTTCATAGATAGATATTTTTTTATAACTAATTAACGATGTTTCGTACAGTGTTTATAAAGACGTGGATTAGTAGTTAATTGAATGCTTTGCATAGAAAATAGTTTTCATCATTTCCTAATCAATTTTTTCTTTCAAAGTTACTCAAATTCAAATCTACGTAGTGTATTAATTAGATTTGTTTTGTTCACATAAAATTAAGCAAAATTCAAAAAAACAATTTCTCTAGAACTTCAATCTTATTTTAAAGTAATAAATTTCCTTAAACCAAATTATAAACTTTTCAATCAAAAAATTGAAACGGTTGAATGAAGAGCAGAAAGGTCATCATTTAACAATTTTATGAATTCAACAAAGCATTTCACTGTTATCAAATGAGATACACATTAAATTATCTAAGAATTTCTTTCATTTGGATTGAAATGCGCGGAAACGTTAGTTCAAGATATTGTTGATTTTTTTTTAAAGTGCCGTTAAAATTAAAAACTGTTGGATTTCTGTTGCTTTTGATATCATAAAAAAAAAGTCTTAAATATTTTTCAGAATGTTTAACTACCCAGTTAGCACAAATGAAATCAAGTTGACGTAAATCTGAGGCCGGAATTGGACGTAAAGTTTACGCTAACAGTAAGGTAACAATTGTACTTATAACTAGTTTACGTCAAGTTAACGTCAACTTTCCGTAAATTTCGCGTTAACTTTGAGCGAACCTTTCAGTCAATTCCGGCAGTAGGTTTACACTAACTTGATGCGTAAGTTAAAGTCAAGTTCTGTAAAACTGTTGCAAATACAAAAGTTGACGCGAAGTTTACGTAAACTTGACGTAAACCATTGAACATCAACTGGTTGATTGTCAACTCGTGCTGACTGGGATAGAAATTTCGTATTTTTAAAAGAATTTTCTTCGTAATATTAAATGAAAAACTATTTCTCGGACCAGAAATTCTGTATTGAGGAGGATTGTTCTTGGAAGAGGAATGAAATTGCATCGATTCAATATAATATACTCTTGAATCAAATCTGATAATAAGTAGTTATCGATTGAAGCTCTTGGTCTGATTGGTCAAGAGATAAAAGTTAAGACAAAAAATTCTTCAAATAAAACAACCGATTGTTTTAAAATAGGTTTCTTGCATCAAAATAATTTTTCTAACAAATGTAGTTTATTACCGAGTATGATTGGTTTCTTTACTTTTGACTTAAAACTTGAGTAAAGGGTATATTTTTATATTGAATACATAATTACCCTTCCAACAAAAAAGCGCCGATAGCATTTTGCTGTGTCGTCTTGATCGATTCGAGGCTGCCAGGCTGGTTGCGTTGGCAACATTGCTCTACCAACAGAATCCAGGGCATGACGATGATCGGTACCATCTACCCAATATCCCGGAGGGGTGACGATTAGTGGTGGTTGATGCTGATTACAATTATTTGCCTGCTGGATAGCTGCCTCCATCAAGGCACGTCCCAAAGGCGCGTCGCCGACTGGTGACGGTGATGGAGACGGTGTGAGGGTTTGATTGCTAGGACTGGAAACTTGACGATCATCTCTAGATGTCTGAAATCAAAAATTTATTCATTAATTTTTTATCAGAAGTTCAAACTGTTAAGTGTATAAAATTTATATATAAAGATTTTCTTTCATACAATAACTTTTAAATTCCTGAGGCAAAAAATTTTTAAATCAAATCAGCTATCTAAAGTTTGAATAAATAAATAATTATATTTATCTAACATGTGTTATTAAACACATTTAAAAATTTGGAAATCACAATTTTTTTAACTAACTTATAACTCATGTTTTTTCTCCTCAAAAAGTTTATCGAATCATGTTTTCAAAGCTTTTTTTCAACTTTTGTCATGATCAACTTGATTAATTTCAAAAATATCTTCCTCATGCTGTTGATGAAATTTATAATAAAAGAAGCTTAAGCTTGCAGAGTAATTTTTTATACGCTTTGATTTTTGTTTCAAGTTTAGTCAACAGCACAATGAAAACTAGTTAGTTTTCAGACAGAATTTTTTAACTATATACGTAAGAAATTTTATAATACAACATAATCGTTAAAATAATTGTGATTTTGTTATTATTGTCTCGAATATTTATAATCATTTGTAAATATTTAGATATAATTTTACAAAAGGAAAAAAGTATTTCGAGTTCGAAAAAATTAAAAATAGTTGAGGCAAACTCAATATGAGGTCATAGACCTCGAAAGCGCATCAACAGTAATTTTTTCGAGCACTCTACTTAATCTCAAAAACAGCAGAAAATTTTTATAATGAGTTGAACGTAAGTTACATGTACATATAAAGGTATATGTATACATTAGGGTGGTTAAAAAAAAAAAACGAACATTTTTTTTCTCAGTAACATGTTTAAAAGTTTTGCTTAGACATAAAAATGAGCCTGTGAAAAGATGAGCTCTTAATTTTAATATTAAGATGCTCCGCATTGCACATTTCGATTTCCCATAAGAATAACATGAGAAAATTATTTTTGCTACTTTTGATTTTTGTAACTCACCAACCAAAAATCATAAAGACAATTCGTTGGAGTATCTTGTAGGAAATTGAACGCTCTACAAAAAAGGATTCTTATGATTTTTTGATAAACTGATAGTATACATTATCAAATCTAATCATTTTATTTTTCAGATGGTGTAATCAATTTAAGAAGTTGATTCATGTAGCTCTACATACAAATTTATTTATGAGTGAAAAATAATTTTATAAGGTTTATATAACTTTTCAAACTTATGAAACACTGAATATTTTTTCATTTCATTACGATTAGTATTTCACTTATCAAGTTAACAGATTGATAGATACGTGCGTTAAATGTTTATACTAAGATATAATTTACCACACAAAAAATCACATTAGTTAGAAATAAATATTTATCTCAAAATATATTAACGGATAAAATCTTTCGTTTCTATTTTCTGAAAAGTTGCGACCCGATTTATATTTAGATAAAAGAAAAAGATAAAAAAACGTTGCGAAGAGCTGTTTTTTTTCTTCACTTCTTTTTCTGTTCGCTTATAAATATAGAAACATCTAAATTAGTAAATGAAGTTAAATACATGAGGGCTTTTCTGGTTTACTTTTCGAATATATAAGATGTCTCTTCGATAAATAAGGAAAGAAAATTTTCAGAAAGTCATTTTTTGAAAAGGAGTATATTGTAAAAAAATTGTCGTATTTTATTATTTCATTATATGAAATGACCTGTATTATTTTTTCCGTAAATTGATCTAAATTACAAATGTTAATAAAATTTCAATCTTAATTTATAGTTTCGAGATCGGACGGAAACTAGTTTTTGGAAAATCGTAGCAAAATCACTAACTTTCCTCATTTTTTAAAATTGACAATTTTTGTAGTGGAAAGTTTAAAATATCATGCCCACGTTTATATCTCTTTAAACATTCAGTCTATTACGAATTAATAACATATTTTTGACCTACAAATTGAGTAGAAACAACTTTGTAACTGCTTGGAATAAAAAGTTGACAATTAGTATGCAAGTCAATACTTTCTTTACATTCTAAAACATCCGAATATGAACGGAATCGAAAAGGGTCGTGTACAAAACTGGATAATTTGGCATGTACTCCGTATGTTAATTAGAAAAAATAAAAATTGAATTAAGAGATCAGAGTTCAATAGAAAAGTGAGGAGAAAATTAATGTGCATGAAGTTTTCAATCGACTATCATCATTATATGTATACACTACATGTATTGAGATGAAATTATATAGACAAGATTAAATAAAGGGGTCAAAAGAGAAATTACGATCGAAACTGTAGTGTAATGCAGTTAGCTCTCCTTCCATTTACATGTATATATTTTGCGCCAAATCATTCAGTTCGTAAGCCCAATTATTTTTTCTTTTAGCAACTTGTTTACATGTTATAGTCTCAATTGGACATAGACATCAAAAATAGTTTTTTTAACTTCCCTCTAAGAAAATTGAAAATTTTCGAAAATCGGGAAGTTATTGGTTTTATCCCGTTTTTCGAAAATCGAGTTTTCATCGAATCTCGACGTTGCAAAGTCCTAGGAAGCTTGCCTGACTATTCCCGCGGTGATCTCACCCGCATGGAAAAATATATATGCGAAAAATATATGCAAGTATATATTTTCACATATATTTTTTTTGCGCTAAATATATGTCCGCATATATGTTCACATATATGCGTAGATATATCTTCACATATATGCGTGCATATATGTTTACATATATGTGCGCATATAAGTGTCTAGAGATACAAGGAAAAAAACTTAAATTGAATCGATAAAGTTAAATTTTTCAAAATTTAACTTTCTTGATTTGAGTAAAAACATTCTCAAACTTAGAATTTTTTTTTCAGTGTAAGCTTACATATATGTCTACATATGTGTAAGCATATATGTCAGCATCTATGTGAAAAATATATGCTGACATATTTTTTTTTGCGTAAATATATGCGGCATATATATTATATATGCGACATATATTTTTGACATATATATTAGACTGTGTCAAAATAAGTTTTTATTTTTTTTTTTCGATTAAGCGTATCTTAAAAGTTTCTTCAATATAAAAAAAAAATTCTCCTAAAGTTTGAGCTCAATATCTCAAAAATTGAGCTGGCGCAAAAGGAGGTCCCCTTTCCCATTTAAATAACATTGTAAAATTTCTTTTTTTTTTATTTTCAAAATAACTATGCGAATAAAATTTTTTTTTCAATTTTGCTCTTAACTATCTTATAGGAAATTTAATTCAAAATTGATCAAAAGTGATCAAAATTGTAGCAACGTGCTTATCATTATTAAAAAATGTAAAGGTAGTGAACGATATTGCAGAAAGAGCAGTTGCTTTAGTTGAAGAATTTTTTCAGTTTAGTACTGAGAACGAAAAACAAAAACAGTATTGTGGAAAATTGTACAGTATCTTTGCAAATTATATCCTTCGTGCAATAAATAATATTTAAATAAATAATATAAATCTAACTAGTCAACAGTGACCAAGAAAATGTATAATAAATTTATTAATCGTAATTAATTTCTATTTTATTTAAAATTTTTTTTTTCTTATTATTTCGAAATATAATGTTAATAATATTAAATTCAAAAATTTTTGATGAATAATGACGTATATTGAGTTAAATCGTTGATAAGTTAAAATAATAAATTTTTTTCTGTTATTAATTCATTAATTATTTTTTCCTCCTATTCGGCCCTCTGTAACTTCGTTTCTGTTGAGTTTAGGAAAAAAATGGACATAAACAATTTTGTAGAGAATTAAATTTCCTATAAGATAGTTAAGAGCAAAATTGAAAAAAAAAACTTTTATTCGCATAGTTATTTTGAAAATAAAAAAAAAAGAAATTTTACAATGTTATGTAAATGGGAAAGGGGACCCTCCCTTGCGCCAGCTCAATTTTTGAGATATTGAGCTCAAACTTTAGGAGAATTTTTTTTTTATATTGAAGAAACTTTTAAGATACGCTTAATGGAAAAAAAAAAATAAAAACTTATTTTGACACAGTCTAATATATATTTCTCCATGCGGGCACCGTGTGTGTGTGTGTGTGTGTGTGTGTGTGTGTGTGTGTGTGTGTGTGTGTGTGTAAATCTCTCATAACTTTTGAACGGCATATCCGATTCGATCGAAGTAAGCGGCGTTCTAAAGAGTTCCATTGCCCTTAGATTTCTGATATTAGTTCAAAGAATTCGACTCGATAAATTTTGAGATATCTCGAAAATAAAATTTCCAAAAATTTGTTTTTTTGGAATAACTTCTTAACCGCTCTACAGATCAATTTCAAAAACTAATCAGTTCTTCACCTCAAAAAAACACGTCGATCGCTACCAGTCCGGTCAAAAACGGTTGATTTGATCGTGAGATATCGTTGTCGAAAAAAAATGTTTTTTTTAGGATTTCGATGAAATTTTTGGTTTGACTAGTTCGCGCTCTGAAATTTTTTAAAAAGCTCAAAAAACTGCGTTGAATGCCGTAAACCGCGAGAAAATCGGTTGATTCATTCAAAAGTGATTACGGTTTAAAAATTCAAAAAATAGTGTGATATGAAATTTCTATCAGACTTTGAGCTCGAAGAGCTCAAAAGCATGAAACAGTCATTTCTTTTAGCTCAAAGAGCTCAACATAAATAAAAAGTATTATTTTTGAGCTCGAAGAGCTCAAAAACAAAATGAGTGAAATGTTGAGCGCTTAGGTTCAAAGTTAGCGGAAAGTTGCAGGGATGACCTTTAGGGTCAACCGTTTTCCTAATTTTTTTTTCTTCATCTCCGTATCAAAACTTTTAAACCTATTGCTAAAAGTATTACAGGTTCCTAAAGAATAGGACCTCCGATTGACACATTTTTGTCCCGACACTGTTTTAACCATTTCAAAACACATTTCTCCACGTTCGTGTATTCACTGAATTTCAATCTTTTACTGTTTGCACTTAACCTTCTTCGAAAAATTTGTGTTTAAACGTTAGAACTGTGGCCAATGCACTTGTGAGAATTTCAAACTTTTTAGCGATGTCTATTTTTTTCTTTGTAGGATTCTCGTCTACATACTTGATGATTTTTCAGTTCTTTGCGATAGTTAAGGTACACCTTTTTCGTTTCTCAGTCATTGCAACTTCAAAATGAACAACAATTACAAACAGCAGCGTTTACATTTCTTAGAATCAAACAATAATGACCTTCTTACGAAAAATTTAACGTGTCTAAACCTATCGAGACATAAATAA